AAAAGGCTCACATGTCCCAACAGCTGCACTCCATAATCTTCTTTGCGCAAAACCAAACCATTACAATTTCCCCTACAATATGTCAAAGACTAGGGCTGATTTTAGGAATATCCAAACAAATTTTATTCTAATATCATGAATTGAACAAAGCCAGCAACAGGAAATGGATTTATATAGATGACATCATGTAATTGATATAATGCTCTTGTTTATGAGTATTAGTTTTTGATGTCAGGTGACCAGCCTCGATATGTGTTAACCTCTGTCACACTTATTATGCGATCCCTTTTTGGTGGAAGCATCCCGATCTACATATTAAGGCTGATCACCTGATATCATATAAAACTTCTAGGCAACATCATAACATCTCTTTGAAAGCCTAATAGAAAATTCCCTCCATAACAACAAATAAGCTGTTTATTTGTTTTATTCATACCACATTTACAATCTTTTAAACAAAAGCTGTCAGTTAAAAGTTAAGGGCCCCAATATACAAATTCATTGACTAATCTCTTCTCATTTTCCCTGTTCTTTCCAATTTCAACTTCCAGTAGAATAAAAATACAGAGAATTGCTATACTTAAGGTTACAGCCTTCATGGTTGGCATCCAGAGCCCCCTCTCACAGGGATGGGCGATGTTAAGGTTAAAGCTATGAATTTAACATTTCCCAAAGTAAACCATATGCACTATAATCAGCCAATAGAACCAAAAGACTACGTATTATCCTAATAATATTAATAATAAATGTATGAGGAAAAGCTCATAGTTTCATGAAGTTATATGGTATGAAAGTCTAATTAGAAACCAAGTCATGACAAGTCCGAAATGGAAACAGAAGTGAATTTTTTAATTTTTATTTTATTTTGGCCCAAATAAAAGGGTACCATAGATACTCACAGCATCTTCCATGGTTGAGCGCCACCCTTGCATGGATGACAAACCATATCTTAGTTTGTCATTCTCGCCATCTTCTGAGGCCTTCTCAGTTTTGGGGGTGCTCAGATATACCCCCATTTCTACCTGGAAACCAAACCTCAAAAAACTATCAGCTATAACATCATTTGCAAACATATAGATGTGCAAGGCTCATGCTTAGACACATGCAATGATGCATAAATATATACATATGGGCATGTATACACACACATCTAGACTATCTATCTATATAAAGCACACAACTCAAAACCTGAAGCCTTGTCATGCTTTTTGTTTTCTAAGAATGCCCATAAAATGTTAACTGCTAAAACTCCAATAACTAACTCTTAAACGGTTTTCAAATTTAACCCATCTTCCTCATTCATCAAACCACCCAAAGTTTAGATCTATAGTTGCAAACACATTGCATTTGCACCCACTAGTAGTGTGTGTATATATATATATATATACACTAAGAAGCACTGACACTACTAAAAAGGTGGCATGTCTGTGGACACCAACATTTATTGGACACTTCCCGACACGTGTCTAACACTCGTCAAAATGTGTCCTATTTATAAAAAATAAAAAAAATAGACCCGGATACTCTTAGGACACTTAGAGATACACATGTCTATCACTTAAATATACGTGTCCATCGATTAGACACACATGAAACTTATAACAAAATAACTTCATATTCAATAACAAAAGAAAAACAATACAAATTCATAAAAAATAAGTGTTATATTACATTTTTTTTTTATTATCTTTGAATGATATATTTATATGGCATATAATAAATATATAAAATTATATATTTTATACGTGTCCCCCACGTAACATGTCTTTCATTTTCTAAAAATTGATGTGTTGGTGTGTCCATGTCCTTGCTTCTTAGTGTGTGTATATATATATATATAATGATACAGTGAATCAGCAACCAACACTTCATCAATCCAATTCCTCAACTACACTAACCATCACATATGGTTAATCAAACAAGCTTTTAACCAACTAATTGATTAATTTAAGGGGCACTTACCAATCAGTCCTATTAACAAGACTTATTTACCTACAGGTCCTAACTATAAATTTATCACTATAGAAATAAGAGATTGATAAATTTATCACTATAAATTTATTCATGAAAATAAAGACTTTATCAATAGAACTTAATGGATAATAAGTCTCAAAAGTAGGACCTATTGGTAATTTCCCCTTAATTTTTAACTCCACAAGTACACCAACTATCACATTAGACACCAGTTCACGAAAAATAACATCTAAACCAATTATGGAACAAGAAAATGAAATGCAAAGAACCAATTCTATGGAAGTTCACATATACTACAATTTCAAACAGACAAAAAGTGATATAAATACAAGTATGTGTAGTTGATGTATAACGAATTGCTAATTTTTTTTTTTTGGAAATTGGCAATCAAAAACAAACATGAAAAGCTTAAGATAAATAGAATGATGATTAGAGAATCAGATAATCAGATTGATACCCTATAAGGCATATCTGAACCAAGAAACCTAAATTTGGTAGCGAAGAATGAAAATCGTTTGAGAATCGTAAAAAGTATGAAGAAGATGATTATATAATGGGATTAGGAAGATGAAATGAAGGTAAAGGTGTGTGTAGGGTTTGTGATCCACTCACTTTGCCACGTTTCAAGTCCGCGCACACACACAGGTTTGAGTCCAGTGAGTGAAAGAGAGAGATTTTGATGAGGCGCGCAATGTAAGTTTGTTGAATGGGCGATACGGTTATCATTGGCCCTGTAGAGGCTGGGCCGCTCGATTCTGTCCTATCCAAGCCTGACACCTGGACTTGGTCTAGGCTTGGCCTGTTTTGCCAAAGTAATCTAAAACAACAATGCTAGAGGGACACAATTTTTGTGATCATAATGACTTAAAATTGTTAAAATAACGTCATTTTGACATGTTTTGTACCCAAAATGACGTCATTTTGACAGTTTTGAACCATTGTGGCCACAAAAATTGTGGCCCTCAAACATTTTCCAATCTAAAATTCTATAAAAATTTCACCAAATATGTCACATGACGTGACGGTAGGACATATATAATGTAGGTTTGATATGAGTCCCACACCCCTTGAAATATTTAATAGAATTTTCTGTGAAATTTTTGAGGTTTGTAACATTTTTTGTTTGGCAAAAATGTATATAGAAAAAATCACAAATAGAAGGGAAAAAAAAGAACCTTCAATTTTGTAGAAAAAAAAACTATAGAATTTGATCATTTTAAGAAATCAACCTAAGTTATAATTTTTTTAATTTAAATCTTATTGTTTTAATTTGATTTCTGTTTATATCTATTAAGGCCTCTATTGAAAGTCCAGGAAAAGTTAATTTATTAATTTTTTGATTTTTTTAAATAGTATATCATTTTTTTAAATTTCTTTTTTGTAATTTTTTTTTTGGGTACTCCCCATAACAACTTTAACTATAATTAATGAAAAAAATACACGCACCATTTTACAATATTATTCTAAACCAAAAAAACCTAACAACCACGGTAGATATACCTTCCTTTTTTCTAGGTAAAAGATCAGCAATCAATGAAGCAGATAATGATAAAGGAGTTTGGAAGGAGGGCTTTTGGCTTAAAATAACAACAGTAATGATAGAGCTCACAAAATATAATACTCATAATTTTTAAAATGATTTAAATTATTTATGTCTCTGTCCGACACAATTTTTTTAAAAAATTCAAATACATCAATGTGGGTCATCGGTCATCGTTTAGGGGTTTCAAACATTTTTCATATGTTTATTTTCTTTGAGAGACCAGAGAAATTAAAATATATTAAAAAAATGAATATATTCTTATTGAGTGATGATATACAAACATAAATTTTTTATAGATTTTTTAAACACAGTGATATAGTTTAATGGTGAACTTTCACTTTAAAACAAAACACTCATAAATATGATTTATATCTACAACAATATCATTATCACAAAATTTTTATGATATTTTTTATATAAATTTTTATATATGAATATAATTTTTTATTTTTATTTCCACAATTATATTTAGATTAGATCAATTTAATCTAGATATATTTAAAAAGTATAAATTTTGTATAAATTTTTTTTAAAAAAATTCATTAAATACAACAAAATAAAATAGTGTATTGAATTTTTGTATTTTTATATTTTTTGTATTTGGCTAATTTAAAAAAAAATCACGAAATAATATACATTTTAAGTATATTTACATTAGGTGTATCTACAAAATAAAAAAATTGCTTAAAATATTAAAATAATTTAGTAAAAAAAAAAAACTCAATTTTTTTTGTAAGTTAAACTAAAGAAGATGATTGTTATTTCCCTTGAAGTAACATGAACAAAATATCTACATTATTTTATTATTTTATATGTACAAAGGCTAATGGACAAATATGTCATTTTAATTTGATAAGAGGATAAGTGTAATTTTTCAAATGTGAGGAGGATCTGTATTAAATAAAAACCTTAAGGGGGTGTCGGTGTAATTTACCCAAATAAATAATATTAAGTAAGTGTTAACTTTTTTTTTTTAGTAAAAAGAGTGTTTGAAATTAGCTTTTTTTAAGTGGCTTTTTTAATTTTTTAAGAGATAAAAAAAAAAGTTAATCAGCTTGTTTGGTTTTGGTTTTCAGAAAATGTTTTTCAAAAATTTTTATTTTTTTATTTTTTGTATTTTTTTGTTTTCAATTAATTTTTTTTAATATTTTAAGAATTGTTTCAATTTTTAGGTACACCTAACATAAATACATTAAAAAGTATAATATTTGTGAATTTGTTTTTTTTTTTTAAAAAAATTCACTAAATACCAAAAATATAAAAAAAAATAAAAATTCAGTATATTTTTTGTATTTATTAATTTTTTAAAATAATTTTTCACAAATATTTGTTATTTAGATACATCTAAGTAAGGTGGATTTAAAAAAGTAAAAAAATTGCTTAAAATTTTAAAAATATTCACTAAAAATAAAAATAAAAAACACAAAAACAAAAAAAACTAATTTTCAAAAAACTAAATTTAGAAAACTAAAACTAAACACGCTGAATGCATTTAGGAATGAGTTTTTTAATTGCATGGACAAATGCAATTATTTTTGTTTGTTACTTAAATTTTCCGTTTTGCCCTTCCAAAGGTGTAAACACTTATGCACTCATTCACAAGAATTGTTTGATCTTTTCAAATTGGTACAAAGTTTTTCAAAGTTTTTTTTTTTTTTTTGGTACATGCCAAACACATTTTAACATTCTTTAGTTTATTAACTTTTTAATAAAAAATATAATATTTCAAACATGGCATGAGTTACACAATTTTTATTTTATTTTATTTTTTGTTGCTATTAATATTTTTGTCGCTAAGTATTTTATAACAAATTGATACATAATATATCAATTAGTAAAATTAAAACAAATTAATTTTTTAAAATTACAAAAGTTATACTTTCGGTCAAGTATAATTACATTATCAATGAAATTTGTAATTATAATTTATCAAATCACAGTTTGTAAAATAACAATCTTATCTTTTTTTTTGTCTCTCTTCCTCTCTCCTACTTATCTTCTATTTCTCTTTATTTTTAAGGCGATATGGCAAAAAAATTGAAATGAAATATTAAAATTTTTATATTTATTTCAGTAACTACATTAGGAAAAATATTATCATATTAGTAAAATTTGGTTTGTCAATTGATATAGTATGATAAATTTGAGTTGACCATAAAATGTAAGGGTATTTTTAAATTTTATGAGATGATCGAGCCACCTAAGCCAGGTTAGATTTATGTCAGGCCAATTTGTTTATGTAAATAATTTTTAAATTGGTAAAAATACTTCATTAGTAAATTTTTTTCATAATAAAATGTACTTATTAATGCATATTTAATAGATTTGAAAAAATAGATTATATGCAATTTTTTATAGTTTTGTTATTATGATTGTAACTTCACTTTAATCTAGACAACTGTAGATAATTTATAACATTTTAAAACAAAATTAAATAAAAATTAATTCAAACAAAATATCACTTCAATTCAAACAAAATTAAACAGATATTTATTTACGTAAATATTTTTAAATTGATATTTTTAAACAAAAATAACCTCAAATAAAAATATTAAAGTGAAGTTATAAAATATTAAAGAAAAATTATTAATTACTTTTGAACTAATGCTCTATACCAATTGTCAATTAAGACATATCATAATGTCACAAAATATTAAAAATACAAAAAAAAAAAAAGAAAAAAAAAAGTAGTGATATACAAACTTTTAAATCATTACAAAAAAATTATTAATAATGATTTGGTTGAATTTTGATCCATCACTTTACAATAAAGATCCATTGACATTTTTTTATTATACAAATGACACTATCACATCGTTTTAGGATAAAATTTTACATAAAAAACCTAATGACATAATATTTTCTAACAAAAAAAAATGGTTATAAGCAAAAAAAAAAATAAAATAATAATGGTCAGTAGAGAGTACAGGGGCAAATGATACATAAAATATGAAATACAAAAATAAAAAATGGTTAGAAGTAAAAGATAAATAAATAAATAACAAAAAAAAAGTGTGGGTTTAAAAAATGTAAAAGACTAAATATTAATTAACCTACAATTGTCTCATAAAGATAGAGAAAAAAATAATAAGTTGAATCATTGCATGAATGTAATATTTATAGGATGAAGATGACATGAATGACTTGGAGAATGTATAATATATGACGGTTAGAGTTTTGGTGTAAGAGAAAGAATTGGTTAGAAAAAGAGTACACAAGAAGGATTTTCTTCATCTTTCTTTTTCTAACTCATAAATCATGAATTTTTTTATTTTTAGATTATTTTTTAAATTTAAAAATTCAAAAATTTAGTGTGAGAAACAAACAAATCAGTTTATTTAATTTATTTATAGGGAAACAATTTAATTATAAGAAACAATCAAATCAGTTTTCCAAATTAATTATAAAGAAATAAAATCAATCAAATAAAAAAGTTTAAACAAATTTGAATTGATTTTTGTTTGATTTATTTTAATGAACGAAGGATTTTAGGTAGAGACTTTAGAAGATGAACAAATAAATTAGAAGGTTAACAAATTGTTTGATTTATATTTGATTTTAGGAAATGGTCATCTTTAGTCAATAATCTTAAGAGATAAGCATGAAGATTTTTTATTTATTTTTTTTTTAATTCAAAAATTATGTGAGACATAAGAATAATTTATTATTATTTTTAAATTGAAAAAATAAGAAATTGACTTTGGGCATGTGGAGGCTTTAGAAACTTTTTAAATTGAAAAAATAAGAAATTGACTTTGGGCATGTGGAGGCTTTAGAAACTTTCTCACCAAAAATCCTCCTTTTACTTGTATAATATATAGATAGATAGATTATATTATGAAAAAAGGTTGTGAAATGGTGATTGTCACGGCAAAGCTACTTAAATTTCGTTTGTTATACTTTTTTTTTTTTTTTTTAATCGA